ATACTACAGGCTAGATAGGACAGAACCCACAGCCGGAACCATACCCTGCGATGAAAAGCTAAAAGGGCTTTTTCTGAGATCAAATACAAGACAAGGATGTGCACTCTCACCAACTCTATTTGGCACAGATAGATCTGAATTTGAACCTGAACTTCGGGCTTTTAGGAAGCACTATTTATTATGGTAAGAATATAGGTAATGTTTTATTTTACAATGTGTTAGCTTGATTTGTTAAATATTTAGTATTTAGTATCTGAGTCTCTCTTTGCACTTTTTGACCTGAGCCTTAGAACACATTGGAGGCAAACCCTACAGATAGAAGAGAATGTGAGTCCTAGCTCAATTGTTTAAGTAACTTCGTAAGTTCAAGCAAACATGTAAAATAGGAGATATGAGGCCCTCCCTGGTGGCGCAGCGGGTTAAAGCACAGCACTGAGAAGCTAAAGCCACTTCCGCATGAGTTCCATTCCCGCCTGCCCCGGAGGTGACCACATGGCGCGGTAGACCTCTCCTGACCCGGCTGCTGCTCCCCTCAGCAGTGTACTTTGTGAATTGCCTGTTCAGCTCCCCACTCTGTCTCTGGTGAAGCCTCTCACTGCCCCTGAGCCTCTGGCTTGTACCCCAGTTCTGTATGTACAAATAAAATAAATCTTACAAAATAAAAAGGAGAAATGATACCACTGGCCTATTAGGATTGGTAGAACAAATAACTAATGTCAAATGTAGACAAGGAGTGCTTAGTCTAGGATTTAAAACATTTAAGTGTCTTCTTCTCCAAACATGAGCTATTATCAGTTTTTCTTCTTACTTGTTTAATGATGATTTTTTGAGCACATGTCCAAAGTTTCAGATAAAAAGAAAGCTTTTTTATTTTGGAACCGCATGACCTTTAATCAAAGTTACAGATAGACAAAAGGAGATGGATTCCAGTTAGTTAAGACTGGCTCCTTCCTGGGTTCCAAAATGAAATACTAACTGGCAATGGGTCTTAAACTCCAGCTGACTGCGCAGATCATCCACAACTGAGCAACAGCACGGGGTGATGAGCAGCAACACCTGAGAGTTTAGTTCCTGTTTCTGAGAAGCTTCCACGGCAGTCAGGAAAGGCATGGAAAGTTCTTTCTTAAGCACTAGTTCTGAAGAGCTGCAGCTTCCTGCTAACCTCTCCTTCCTACTCTTTTAAAACTAGGGGTATGTGGGAGATCCAGAAGCCCAGACAAGACTCAGCAAACAAGGGAGAGGGAAAATACTCCTAAGGAGCTCGAGTTCAGTGAGAAATCTAAAGTGGCGAGATAAGGAGATGGAAGGGAAGCCACAGAGAAAAGGCAGGGGAGTGAGGCCACTGTGGGGTTACCCTGAAGAAAGAGAGAAGGTGCAGCTGGGAGCTAATCTCTGGGAAAAGGGAGTATGTGGATGAGTGTGCCCGTGTGTGTGTGTGTGTGCTGCAGAGGCTGTCGAGTGTGGCTTTTGAATCTCATTGTGCATGATAGTTATGTACATTTGTGAGCCCAAGGGGAACTGTAAAAATACCATTTTAGCACAAAAATCTCTACAAGGACAGACTTTATTTTTCATTTCATAAAAAAAGTCAAATGCTAGTGATGAAAAAAAAGTGTGTGTTTCTAGATAGTTCCAAATAGCTTTCATCAAAAATATTTTAATATACCTTTGCTTTCTGTCATCTTGGACCTTTTCTCATACTGGCTGGAACTCTCATTCAGGGGATCCTTGTAGTTTGAAATAAGATTCTCCCTCTGTGACTATTGTATTCAGCAGTGTCGTACATGAAGGTGTTAAATAACATGAAAGGTTTGAGATTTGGAATAGAGATTTGTGTGACAACCCGCTTGGGATTTAGGAACACTTGCTCAATGTTGTATCTGGAATTTGGACTTGGAATCTTCATTTAATTGGCCATTAATTCAAGATGTTTCTTAGGTAGGGATTTTTTGCCTCTTAGTAAGCTATATGTGTGAAACTGAGTTCAGGAATGGGGCCTTGCTATCCAGTGACTCAAAGTATATCATCGGTAACAAATTAATGAGCTTATCATTTGTCAGAAAATTCTCAATGAAATACACCACCTTTTCCCTGTAAATTCAAAAGGAGACCTCCAAGCTGTTAGTATGGAGGTCTACCATGGAGACCCACACTCCTCGCCTTGCCCACTGTAGATCTGCAGCACTGGAGAGAGGCTTCAATATTCATAGACCATCAAATTAGTAAGCTATAGACCCACGTTACTCTAAAATTGCTATAATATTAGGCAATAAACATCCTAATGTTCTAACCTGTTTCCCATAGGTTTTCTACAGCTTGAAGCAATGTGCTTCATAAAGCTAGTATGAATTTCATCTCATTTCAAAAATTTTCTTATGCATCAAAATAAACATTATTAATGGTATAAATCTTACTACAATATTTATTAGTATGTGATACTGGTTTTACTATTTTCTGATTAATATTTACTACTTTTTAAATTGTCAAATTAATTATTCTGCGCAACCATTCTCCAGTGTAGTTTTATTATATTGCATTCCCAGGAGAAGTGAATGAGTTTCTTTTGTTTTGCATGCATGTCAGCATTTACTGTATTAAAAATATAGGTAACAAAAATAAAAAATACAGGGCCCTTCCTGGTGGTGCAATGAGTTAGGACACAGCACTGCAAGCTAACTGGAGCCACTTCAGTGCAAGTTCGATCCCCAGCCCTGGAGCTGACCCACATGGTGCAGCAGACTTCTGTTTTACCGCTGCTCCTCTCAGCAGTGTACTTCGTTGATCTGCTTATTCTGCTCTCCACTCTGTCTCTGGTGAAGCCTCTAACCATCCCTGCACCTCTGGCCTGTATCTCAGTTCTGTATGTATAAATAAATAAATAAATAAACAAATGAATGAGTGAATAAACAAATAATTGTTAAAAAATAAAAATAATAATGCATATGTAACTATACACATTCATTAGTGGGATTTTCAATATTAGTAAAACATCAGTTTCCTCCCCAAGTAATCTTCAGGTATAATTCCAACTGAAATAACAGATTTTTAAAAAAATAAATTTGAGAATTCTAATATTTATGTAGAAATTAAAATGGCAAAGACATTTGAGTCACTAATAAAGATCAGACACTTTAGCATATCAAGATTAATTTTCAAACCACAATATTTATTTAGCATGGCATATATTTGGACATGATTTATAACAAAGGTGGTACTACTGAGAAAGGAAAAAATAGCATTTTTAATAAGAGGAGGTATGTGACTTCAATGCTTTTATAAAATAGAAAAGTTTGTCTCCAAATTTACTCCACTATATAAAAGGCAATTACAGGTACATCCGACACATACATTTGAAATGGTAAACAATGACACTGTTAAACTATCTAGATTTGTCTCACTCACCAAGGTTTTAGACCATCAAAAGCACTACTCACAAAGAAAACAAATAGTCAATAGGTATTTCTTTAAGTGTAGAATTTTGTTGAGAAAATAATATGGCCAGCCAGAGTAAAGCAGAAAGCTGGTCTCCAGAACATGTACAGCAACTCCAAAAAAAAAAAAAAAAAAGGGTGGGACAAAGAAAATAACCAAATAAAGAAAATAACCAAAATAAAAAGTGTGCTCACCAAGTGGGTAATTGCTAATAAGCACATGCAAACTTATTTAGTAGTCATCAGTGACGTGCAAATTAAAATACAATAGACCATCTCAAGAAGGATCGAAGTTCCGTCTCGGCACCTAGTCTGAGAATGCTCATTGGATGGGGTCCCCGGATGGGATAAGCGTGCCAACCATTGCAAACGCTTGGGAAAGTAACTCAGAGTCTCTGACTCAGCAGTGCCACTCCCACTTAAATGACCAACAGAAATGGGCGGCCTTCTTGTACACGTGGCTGACATGGACACTCCTGTTCCCCATAAAGCGATTACCCTTTGTCCCCCGACCCTGTTTCTCCTGCCACTGTCACGTCATCAAGCATGCATGGTCATCACTGTCAATAAATAGCCAGAGGGCTGCTCACTGTTCAGCAAGGTCTTGCCTTGCAAACCTGCTCCACAACTCTTCCCTCAGCGTGTCCTGGGACGTGGGGCGCCTCATTTACCACAGAGCTCTGTATGAGTATGCATACTAACTCTTAGTAATATCACGGTAGCCTGCAAGAAGGCTTTTAAAGGTCTCCATGTCACTATGTGCTGAATTTTGGTCCTAGAGTATCAACCATGAAGCTAAGCGAGCGCAGCCTCCGCCGCAGAGAAGCTCACTCTCAAGCTGCTCCCCCAAGCAGCCACAAAGACTGTGGGGGCCCCATGAGCCGGTGTCCCCAGGCCTGAAGGACTTATCTCCACTCTTCAAAGTGTCCTGTGTGAGGTTGAGTTATCACTTCATGCGTCCCCCTGCTTTCCTCAGATTCTCTAGCTTTTGCCACTTACTAAGTGCCTATTTTTTTCCTGTGCTAATTGCCTGTCCCTCTCTGTGATTAGCAGAGCCTCGAGAGACTTGAATAAACATAGTTCTGGCTACTGCTCTTTATCCTTAGCTTTTATGTGGCTCCATGCCAACACAAATTCTCCTATTACATCTTTGAAAATGCTTCAAGTGTATAGTGGCTCATGCCAAAATCATCATGAATATAAAGCACAGCATATTCTGTTTGGGTTGATAAAGCAATGATATAGTGTCTTTCTTCTGTCTGTACACAGCCTGGCATCTGGGTACTTAGTGTCTCCCGTGTCCAGCCAGATCATGCTTTACTTTTCCTTGCATGTTTTTTGGTAAAGTGTGTATTCCATAAAGAAGAGATCGATATTGACTAAGCATTTATTCAAACGGGAAACAGATTTTCTTCATTTTTAATCTTTAATTAAGATTCGTTTATTGTGGATCAAGTTCAGTGACTAGTGCCTGCAAGGGGCACAGCGGATAGTTTCTGGGCTGTGCAGTAGGTGATGTTTTACATATTCACAGGAAACGAGTTAATGGGGTGAGTGTTGGAACTTTACTGCCGCTTGGCGGCGGGAACGTGATGAGGACATAGCGGCCGTGGAGCGGGTGTGCAAGGCAAGCCTCTGCTCTTCCAGCAGACGTTCTTGCGCCATTAACTGAAAGCATCCAGACGAATAAAAGCTGATCATGCACGATGCGATGGGAACTAAGGTCCGGAGAGTGGGATAGGGAGGGGGGCAGAGTTTAACAAGGGACAGAGTAGGGGGCATCATGACCATACGACAACAGTCATTTGTGTCAGTAGTGTTTGGTGTTACCACCGGCAGAGTCATCCTGAGACCACCATGGAGAGTCACGTAATCAGGGCAACGACAGCCTACGCGTTCCCAGCCTGCCTCCTGGCTATTGTCTGGGGGTAGCCATGGAACACTGCTCTGTTTGCAGGCAGCAAATAGGTCACAGCTGCCCATGCGTGCCCTGCCCCCAGGAGTCCACACTAATGTATTGACAGAAAGTCAGTGAGAGATACTGAAACACCTATAACTGAATACACACATACTTGGAGCTCATTCTTACATTCGTGTCCTCTGTGGGAACACTGAGGAAAGCCTGTCCTTTGTAAGGCGTCACGCAGACTTACCGCAATCCGACATCAGTTCCTTAATAGTCAGTCATGGAATCTGGAAACAGCTGGTTTTCCAGGTGAGTAGCTCTGTCTCTCAAAACACAAGGGGGGTTGTAGCTGTTGCAATACAAGGATTTATAATGTTTAGCAAAAACTGGAAGCTTTTAAACTCAAAGAATGCAATGGATTTAATGATGTAGACAGAGTGAACAATTCTTGGTCTGGAGAGAGGATGTGCCATGACAATTAGATTGGAAACTTGAATCACACCACAGTATTTTTAAGCCAACGTGTGGAGCTCAGTGTTACATGGTATTAGGACGTTAAGAGGAAGTGAGGTAGGGCATGGCTTTGTTTATCTACATATTACTATTCTTATTTAGATTTGGTGGTTTTATGATTTCGAACACAATATGACCTACTCCACAAGCTATAGTCTAAATTTTGTATCTGACTAAATAAATTTTGTCTCTTTTCCTATGCCATAGCCACCCTTTGAACACATCTAAATTAGAAACAGAAAATATTACATTATGAAAAGATACTGTATACTTTAAAGTGAAATGTGTCATTTTATGCTTTTGATCTTGTATAAGATACAACAACAATAACAGAAACAACAACAAAAAGATTTATTTCACAGGCTATTACAGGAACAGGTCAGAATGACATCTAAAAACTTTCCCTTTAGGAATTTATAATTTCTGTCTTCCAGATGTCACAATGACATTTTAAAAAAATATTTATTTATTTATGCATACAGAACTGGTGCACAGCCCAGAGATGCAAGCGGTGAGAGGATTCACCAGAGACAGAGTGGGGAGCAGAACAGGCCGAGTGATGAAGTACACTGCTGAGGGGAGCAGCAGGCGGGTCAGGAGAGGTCTGCCGCGCCATGTGGGTCACCTCCGGGGTGGGGATCGAACTCATGTTGAAGTGGCTTAAGATTCTTAGTCTTGTGCTTTAACCCACTGTACCGCCAGGGAGGGCCTGTCACAGTGCCTTTTAAATGAGTTCATAATTTATGAAATTTTAAAGTAATTCTTGCTACATTATAATTAAATAATTTTATCAATGTGTGGACGATGTTGATGAATTCCTAAGAAATAATGTTCAATTTGCCTACTCTGAATGCCATGGAGTAGTTGAAAACCACATTGATTTTGAGCATATCAAACATTCATTTTATTTTGATGGTAGATGACGGTTGCCTACGCAGAGTGGGCTTCAGAAAAGCCCTGCCTAGGTCTGAATAGGAGTGCTGACATACACTACATGAGCTAAGAATCCATCAGCTTCCCAGCCCTGTGACTACTCATCTAGTAAATGAAACCTTGATAGATGTGTGCTCACAGCATTGGCAGACAGAGGAAATAAGTAATAAATGAAAAGTCTCTCCATAAGATCTGATTCATAGAGCTTCAATCAATACTTTTACCATTGTAATGTGATGCCACAGGATATAGCTATTGTCTTAAAATAAGATAAAATTCAGGGAGAATTGCCTACAACAGTCTGAAAATGGTTGTATTCATTTCTCATTTGTCAGAAATGTATTTTTGTATCTTCTCAGCTCCAGATTTTGCTGAAAGCTTGGCTATCAAAATAAGATAACCAAAGAGGAATGAATGGAGGAGACTGATATGAAGGCATTTAGAGGGAAAAAAAATTACAGGTACAAAAAGAAAGATGATACAGATTTATTTCCTTTCATGTCATCTGAAATTATTGAAATTTCTACACTTTGTTTATACCGAAAGACAGCAACATCTACTCCACACTATTTGTGGGGGAAAAAAAAGTATTTACCTAGCTATGTCCCATTACAAATACAGATGTTCATAAGTATACAGTAGCATTTTAGATATGTTTAAATAAAGATGCTATCAAATACCTGAACTTCTGTCTCCACTCTATTTCCTGAGCCTGAAGATTTTTCAATTGCATAAAATATACCATCAAATGACATGAAAAAATATTTTTCTTGCTTTCTGGTTCTACTGATTTCAATCATCTTATTTAAAGTGTGCCTTAGAATGACTTAGAAATGTCTACCCCTAGTGCCTTAAGACATCAGATTTCAGTAGGGCATCTTGTGCTTTATGCTTTCATGTCAGAGGGCATTCCGTGCTGAAACATGATGAATGAGAACAAATTGCTTTATTTCGTACAGTTCCCTGGTATGAGGACATATTGATCCTACTACCAAAGGGCAACTTTATGTAACTTATGGAAAAGATTCATTTTATTGTGATTACCCAAGTCTTTGTCTTAGTGGGAAAACTCCTCTCATCTGATCAAGAAATGAATGGAAGAAATACACCTGTATACTCGTTTTCCTCCTTTTAAAAAGCAAAACAGAACACCTTTAATTAATATTGACTTTGATGGCCACTTTCAGAGGCTAGAGTTAGATTGCAGATGCAATTAGGGTCCAGAGGAAGAGAGCTGTCAGACTGAGGGGAGCTCAGCTCCTTTCACATCTGCTTTGGCAAAGTGATATCTCAACTTCATTACTTTGTCAGATTTCTTACAACCCTCAAGAACACATTTAATTCCTTTGGCCTTTTCACATTATGTTTATTTAATTAAAACATGTATTTGTATTCCTGGGAGGAAGTCCAGTGGACTGTGGTGAGGATTATGGGTGCTTTAGTGATAGGCTTGGTGTAGTAATGTACATTCCAAGAGGTAGGCTCTTACACCCTAAAACTTATATGGTATTGTAAACTAGAACTGTTTTATACAAGGCAATGTATTACAAATTATTTGTATTGTAACATTTGTTTCATAAAACAACTCACTATGTTTGGACAAGTGATTTTAAGTTAGTTCAGTTTATATTTACTGCATTACTTTGAATTCCATTAAAAGTCAATCTGTTGTGGGCCCTCCCTAGTGAGACAGCGGGTTAAAGCACAGCACTGTGAAACTCTCCACAGCCACTGCAGCATCAAGTTCGATCCCCGGCCAGGGAGTGACCCACATGGCGCAGCAAACCTCTCCTGCCTCACCCACTGCTCTCTCCAGCAGTGTATTTCAGTAGATCTACCTGTTCTGATCCCCACTCTGTCTCTGGTGAATCCACCCATTCCCCCCAACCTCTGCCCTGCATCTCTGGCCTGTCCCCCTGTTCTCGTATGCATAAATAAATAAACATTTTTTAAATCAATCTGTGCAGAGGGAATATTTGAGATAAGAAAATCTCAGCACATCAGGAAGTTTCACCTCTCTTTGTTCCCAGCAACCTTTCGCCAACTCTACCCACTCTTACCGTGACACACTAGCCGGAAAGGATCCAGCATTTATGTCTCAGTGAGAAAGTGTTTATCAATCTGCCATCTCTCCTAGGCAAAGGAACAAGCAAATTATTGTACATATTTTTATGTTAATCCATGAAATATGCTATCTTTCCATTTTCTTGACTTAGGGAACCATTTAAAGGAAAAGTTATGACCCACAGTACTCAAAATAGAATGGACCTGATTTTTTTTTTCACTTTAAGACCAACTGTAAGTTAATCCTCTTTTCTGCTCTTGAGGGCATATAAATTTAGTAATAAAAACACTGGATTTGAAGTTCTCCTTCTTACTATCCATGTAATCCTATGGAAATTACCTCCCTGCAAGTTCATTCTTTTATAGCTCAAGAGGTTCTAACAATAGTATGTTTTTGTGTGCATTTAATAATTAACTATAGGATGAGAGGCAGGGAAAAACCAATTAATATGCTATTTAACCTAAATGGCTTTAATTGCAGCTTATATCATATTACTTTAAATATCCAAATTTATATACAAAACTAGAATCTTTCAGAACATTTGTACTAAATTATGAGTCTAATAAATTCCTATGTGCATCTGGAAAATATGTTATAATAGGTTAATAATCTAAAGAAAAACTGAAATTTATAATCACGGATTTTTAAATAATTTTGAAAGTTGATCTTGAGTAACCTAACTTTTTCTACCCTATTCCGTGACATGATTATCAACATAATGCAAATGAAATATTGTCTAAGAACAATGATTTCAGTCTTGATTTAGAAAATAATGAACTACTTGATCTAAAGGTTCACCTTTAGAATTTAAAGGTTTACCTGCTGAATTTAAAATATTTTAATTGTGATATTGGAGTAGAAATTATACTGGGATTTTATAACATTAAATCAGGCTATTTTTTTTTTCAAGAATTGCATCACTAACTTGCCTCATAGGGAGAACTGGTAGTCTCATTTCTTATGCACCTAGTCGAGGAAAAATATTCAGAGATCTGTGACAGTTTTAACTTTCCTATAGTAAGTTTACCACCCAAAAAAGAATCTGAAGGAGAGTGTTACTGAGTATGTCTACTTCATACCACAAGACATGGAAATAATTTAAGACTTAAGTATTTTGGAAAGAGATGCAAATTATGAATAACATAAATGCCACAAAGCCTAGGTTTGAAAGATGGACCCACAGACACTTTTCTGAACTCAGAAAAATAGTATCATGACACTTTTTTGTTTACTGTTTTTAGATTTGTTTGTGCAAATGTGTACACATGAATTGGGTATATCATACAGTACCATCATATGTACATCTCTACAATCAAGGCACACACTCGTAGTTGAGCTATATATGACCAGACCCCTCTGTTACTGCTGTATCGAATGTTTATCTGCTAATCTCTTGCTTCCTTCACCTCTAGACTCCTGTGTTGCACTGTGTGATATTTAATTTGGTGGTGGCATAGGGGAAAGAGAGGAGCTGGGAGAAAGATGTCTTCCCATCACCACAGGATCCCTTTGTTCCCTTTCTCTTCCCTTTAGCTCCTCCTCAGGCTTTAAATACAGTTTGCACCC